TTGTCTTTTTTTCCAACACTTTTTTTTTTTGTTTATCATTTTTTTTTTTTAAAAAAAATTTAGGGTTAAGCTGTTAAAATTTCCCAGCCCCAAATTTGAACGGCGCCGGGCCAAAAAAATTGTTTATTTATTTTTGTTAAAAAACTTTAATCGAAAGTGACTTTTAAAAAATTTTTTGTTGGTCCCCAAACAAGGGGGTTTTAAAAATATTTAAGGTCCCTTTTAAAAAATACCAAAAATTGACTTTTAGAGAAAGGGGAAAATCATAAAAACCTTAAGGATTGGAAAGGGTTTAAAAACCAAAGTGAGGGGGCCCCTAAAAAATTTTTGAAAAAAACAGTGGAAGGGGTTTTTTCATGGGATTTCAATGTGGGGATTAAAAAGGGGAAAAATTTTGGTAAGCAATAAATTTTAAAAAGGGGTAATATGGGGGGAAAAATGTCTTTTATTTAAGCCGGAAAAGAGCAGACCCCCTTTGGGGGGGAAAATTAAAAAACTTTTTTGCCGGGGAAATTTGGGGGGGCATGGTTTTTTAGAGATTTTTGGAAGGGGGTTTGTGTGTGATAAAGCATAACCTCTATGGATGGCAGGTAGTTAAATGTTAAACGTTGAAGCTCCATATGAGGTGTCTTACATTTAAAAGTAGGGAAAGATACGTAGGAAGACACAGATGAAAGATCTGGCAATGTGACTTGGGATTGTAGTGGAGGGTTTGGTGATAAAGCATATATTTTTGGGATGGACAGATGTGTTACATGCAAAAGGTCAATGAGGTTTCGACATTAAAGAGGGGTACGCCGGACACAGATAGATCTAGGTTGGAAGTAGGGTGAAAAGGGACATGGCGACATTCAAGTCTGAGCTATCATTGAGATAAGTCTAAGAGAGAAGGGGGACTTTTTCCATGGTATGGTGGAACATTTTTGGCAGATCATATTGATAATATTAGCTATACTTTGATTCCAGATAGTTCAGATAATATCACTGGGGTTATAGTTGCGTTGAAGAATATAAGGGATGCGTTTGGTAGATCTGAAGGAGCTGGATGGTCAGCGAAGACTTGGTTGCAAGATCAGTTAGGCCCAGTAGGAGCAGTGATGGATTAGGTTTTAATGGCAGTTTTGATAGCACTGTGTGTGATGTTTGTAATTTGTTACTGACCTTTGAGAAAGCTATGATATTGAGATAGGTTGGAGTAGTGATGCCTGGAGACAACACTCAGATGCCGTTGTTGACTGTTCCTGATCTGGATGAAGAGGGACAAGTGGGACTGGATGGAGTATTGATGATAAATATCCTTTTAGATTTTTTGATAATTTTTCCAAAAAAAATTCAATATTAGTGTGATTTTAGTATGATGTTATGAATCAAAGGGGGGAAGTGTATGAATGAATCACATTATCCTATTTCATTATTCTATCATTTATATTGATTCATACATCATTTATATATAATTTTTATATTCTTAGTTGATATTGATGTTTAATTTGAAAGTGTTGTTTTGCAAAAGATACTGTTTGGTCTTTTCTTTTCTTCCAGAAGCATTTGGGGGAATATGTAGAGATTGAAATACTCAAACAAGGACAATATGAAGGGACAATATGAAAGGAGAATGACTGGAGGAGATGGAACAAGGAAGGGGTGGAAAGGTTCCGATTCCATCATCAACAATGCATTGGAAGAGGAGACTACGGAGGAGATGAAGTGTAGTGGACTACATTCCAGTGTCTGCAATGAAATATAGACATATTTGCATGTGTAATACATAATTTGTGTCTTTTTCTTAGGTATTAATTTTTGTAGAATGATATTTGATGTTATTGGATACATGTGGGGATCTTAGATGTTTTTGTTTATTTCGTGAATGCTTAGGGACAGGGAGTCTAGGCAGGGATAGAGATTCACTTTAGGGTCCGATGGGTTGACCAGCCTTAGAGTGGACATTTTTTGGATAGTATTTTGTTTGCAGGGGCTTACATGTGTATTTAATTGCATCATAGTTTCAAATGCATTGATAAAGATTTATGAATTCATCGGGAGTACCTAGGTGGTTGCCTGGGGCAGAGGGACCGTGAGAGAATTGTACTGTCTTGATTGATGGATGGATTTGGAACGAAGGTTGCCAGACAGTTTTTCGCTCTCACACTCCATAAAGATTTGTTCATATTTCATAGTAATGTATTCACACTTCATAAACATTTATTCATATTTCATAGAAAGGTATTTACACTCCAGAGGGAAATGTTTTTGGTTTAATGTTAAAGATACTCAATAAGATAAATTGTTACTTGTCATAATCCTATTCTGTTTGGTTTCGAGACTGTTTAGTCTCGAAGGGGGGAATGTCGTATATGAAGATTATGACGTTGTTAATGTTTTTAAGTGGAACCGGAGAGGACGTTTATTTTAGTGTAATAGGGAATGGTTTTAATGTGACACCCCAGATAGGACAGAGAAGTCTGTGTGTTGTAGACAGGGGATTGGACAGTAGAGGGAGCCACCCCTATCTTGGGAAGATTATATATACTGGGTAAAAAGCGAAGAAGAGGTTAGAGCGACCATTGCAATCTGGGAAGTCTCTCTCCGGGTGGTCATGACATCCGTCACTTATGCTGGAATCTTGTGATATGAATAAACTTATGATCAAAGGTTCAGTATGAGCAGACTCCTTTGTTTATCAGCAATAATTGCCAGCATTTACTCGATACTACAGTGGACAACAGTGTCGAATGCAGCACTTAAATCCAAGAGTACAAGGACATAGAGCTGTTTGGCATCTGTGTTGGCTCTAAGATAATTTACCACTTTAACTAAGGCGGTCTCTGTGCTGTGGTGGGCACGTTAACCAGATTGGAATTTCTCAAAAATACAGTTGGCAAAAAATCATTTAGCTGTTTGAAAACCAATTTCTCCTGAATTTTGCTTCAGAATGGAAGGTTGGAGATTGGCCGAAAATTGTAACGAGCTGAAAATTCTAGATTACTTTTCTTCTGAATGGGTTTCACCATAACAGTTTTTAGTGCAGTGGGGAAAGTGCCTGTGAACAGGGAGTGATTAACAATAGCTTGCACTTCTTCAGATATGCAATAAAAAATTGTTTTGAAGAAGGTGATGGGGACAGGATCGAGAAGGCAGGTAGAAGGCTTAAGCATGTCTGTGTCAACCAGGGAAAATAAAGCCAGTGTCTTTGCGTGGTAGGCTCGGGCACAAACTTCATCAGGTCTTGCTTGACTGATACCAAGCCTAATGTTTGTCATCTCTGAAATATGTCGCAAACTCATCACATTTAGATGTGGAGGAAAGTTCACATGGGTTTGCGGGTATGGCAGTAGGTGCCAGGAGTACCGGTTTGAGTGTGTCAAGAACTCCAACGCTGCTGGGTTTTTCACACTCAACAGTTTCACATGTGTATCAAGAATGGTCCACCACCCAAAGGACATCCAGCCAACTTAACAACTGTTTGCCAGCATTCCTGTGGAACGCTTTCAACACCTTGTAGAGTCCATGCCCCAACAACTTGAGGCTGTTCTTAGGGCAAACGGGGGTGCAATTCAATATTAGGAAGGTGTTCCTAATGTTTTGTACACTGTCTATACACAATGTCCAAGGTGTACTTTTTGACTTTCTAAAAATACATAAAATACTCTGCTGTGGAAGTTTTGTATCGCAAGACCAACAGTTTACCAAGATATAACATGATAGGCTGTGTCTACACTTGACACTTACATGTGACTTCTATCAGAATAAGAAGATAGGATTGAAAAGACGGGTCGCTTTGTGGTCTGATTGTGTTCAGATGTGTCTGACCACTTTAGGAGGTGGTCAGGGATGCATTGTCTGCGGATTTCTCCTCAGTCTAGACGCAATCAGGCTACCGAAAGCACATACAGTGGGCGATGTCATCAGCACTCCTCCCACAAGTCTCCATAAAACTTGTGTTTTGGGACCAAGAGGCACCTTTTCATTATAACGTTGGAGGAAATACGTTACTTAGAAAAACTATTTTTTGTTTGGCTGGTTATGCTAACCTGTTTTCAATCCCTTTAGCATTGCTTGCTGACTAGCTACAGAGGTTAGCTGGCTAGTTAGCTACAGTAGTTAGCTACTGCCATCAGTAGTTGTTGTTATCATATTTAGCCTATTCCACCGTTTGTAGAACGCTATTTGAATATAGCGTGGGAAAAGGGAATTCGGACACACAGTGGACACGGTAGACATTTAAACGTAGGTGTAGACTCGTTCAGAATTCCGTGATCAGAACTCTATGATCAGAATGCAAAAGCTGCATGAACTGTCAAGTCTAGACACGGCCATATAGACATTAGAAATGGCTTTGGAGTTTACCAGTAGACTGCAATGCAATGCATTATCTTTTCATGACCTTATGTACAGGGGTTTATTACACTACTGTTTATAATTCGATCCCGAGGCTGGTCATTTTGGTTCTTCAAATAAGAATAGTTCATTACAAAGAGGGTGATTGCATGTTAATTTACCTGGTAAAATAAAAAGGTAAACGTCAATGCCTTGGATTGATAACATACTGTATACACACAGATTAAGTCTAGTCCTAGAATAAAAAGCATGCTCTATGGAGATTCGCCATTGAAAGTGCTTTTTATTCCAGGACTAGGCTTAGTCTGAGAAACCAGTCCAAAATGTTCAGGTAATCTAGGTTAATTATGAATGGTCTACAACCCACAAATTATTTTAATCATATAAGAAAAATATTTTGCTATCATTTTACACATTATGCCATAGATGTTCAGTTAATTAAAAATAAAAACTATGAACTATAATGCAATCCAAACACAATACCTCAAGCACAACTTTGACCAGCTACAACTATATATAAAAAAAAAACGTACTAAAAAAGACTTTTACAAAAGTTACTAAAATAGGGTATAATAGAATATAAAGGGCTGGTTTCCCAGACACAGATTAAGCCCACTCCTGGACTAAAAAGCATGGTAAATAGTTTTTGGTCCAGGACTGGGCTTAATCTGTGTCCGGGAAACAGGCCCGAAAAGTAATAGTGAAACAGTCAGTCTATTGATTATTGCTGTATGTTTTCTCATCTTCTGTAACACGGTCCAGAGCATAGAGACCTGCCATCTCCTTCTTCATCATAGGAAGGTCATCTGCTGGCCGACATATTGTCTGGAGGCGCTGGGGAAGAAAAGAGGTCTCAATATAAGTATAATACATTTGCTGCAAAGGTATTCTTCAAAAATCTCAGAATAGCACAGAAACTCTATGCTAGAGCTAAAAGGCCCAAATGAAAGGTCCAGGCCTTTCTGATTTATTTTATTTTATTTAGCCTTTTTAATTTAAACTTTCTGTACCTCAATTTAACTTACTTGATGCAATCATTCACACTTAAATGTCCCAGGGAAAACTTCCCATCATATAATGCCACTGACCTGCCAGAAAGTCCCTTTGGCCTGGTACAGTTTGTAGACCATGGTGATGGGGATGAGAGAGAGGGAGGACATAGCCAGGATCCAGCCTAGCCCGTAGGCCCACCACGGGTACACATAGGTGTTGTTGAATTTCAGAGGGCTGTACTTCAGCAGCGAGAATACAAAGGTTACCTTGAAGATACAATATTTTACAGAAATATGTTGTTTCATTATTTCTTGACACTGTACTTAAATGGACAGCATAAGGTTTTGTAAACATAACTGCAGCTATTTACATTTTAGTCATTTAGCAGACGCTCTTATCCAGAGCGACTTACAGTTAGTGAGTGCATACATTTTCTTTTTCATACTGGTCCTCCGTGGGAAACAAACCCACAACCCTGGCGTTGCAAACGCCATGCTCTACCAACTGAGCTACACGGGACTAGCGTTAGCTCATATTCATAAATGAAAGTGAAAGAATGATACAAATGCACTGGGCTTAAACTCACAGTGCCAATAGTCGGAGTAATGTAGAGCCAACAGTACTTCAGCAGGGAGGAGGGCCTGTAGCCAATCATATCCTCAATGTTGTCACAGAAGCGTTCCGCACCTTGGACAGAGACAGGCATGTGACAAAATACTCATGAACAGTCCCTTTAAGGACTTTCAATTACTTTGTGTCTTTACAGTGAGAAATAACATCTGGTGAGGAAGCTAGCTTTTCATATGTATGTGTTTGCCCATGATTACATAGTGTAATGTCTATCCTTACCATATATCCATCCAATACTGAGTGACTGACAAATGGAGAGGAGCAGCAGAGTGGCACCACTGCACACATAATGATCAAACAGCTGGATGATGTAGAGGCCACCCTGCAAGGAAATAAAACTTCAATATACAGTCAAAACAATGTTTACAGATTTAGTTATTGTATTAACCAACCATAAAGGACTTGGATCAAAGTAGCTGAGTAAACTACACTCCATCCATATATTACACATCTCTACGGAGTTGAGACGAGTGTCAACCAAATACATTTAGTCACCATAAGTAGATACTTAAAAAAATTATTAAACGATTAGGGCCCGATTCAGACAAATTTTACGCCTTTCCAACGCACTTCTCAGTAGTTGGTATTCAGACTTGCCTTGTGCAGGTGCGTAATGGGCTTCGCTGGCGTGGTTCCCTTGCAGGCGCTGAATACATTTAATTCAACCGCTGAAAACCCTCCCCTTGCTGGCCAACAGATTTTCTCATGGAGTTTTCATTTAATAGGGTTTTCAGTACATTTATCTTAACCTTACATTTAATTAGAATTTGACAGACTAACTAGAATACATTAAGAAACGGGTTCAGAATATAGGGATCAATTAAAGAAATCCATGTAAATATATGCATATTAGTCTCCGTTTCAGCACCACCTGGTCGATTTAAAAATACTCTGATCTTGTAGATTATTTAGGCAAATGTCTGGGTTAGGAAAGTATGTATGAATCATTAAAAAAACTTGATGCACAAAATATATTAATCAAAAATATTGGTTTGATTCCTTCTGAAAGTTGTCATATTGAAGTTCAATCCATTAAAATATTGTAAGGTGAAAATAATAAAAAATATATAAGTGTACAATAGGGGTTGAACAAGAGTCCTATAAATCTACCCTAATTCTCACTAAATCATGGAACTGTGTGACAATGGTCCATTCGTTGTGAACCGTGCGCCAGGTTCCAGTTTTAACCTGCTACGTGTAGTCCTAGTTCCATAATGATTCAAATAGGCTACATGTCCCAAATGATAGCACAACATTAGCCTAATATGATTCAATAATGCTAGCGACCCTCAGGAACAACTACACAGATGTGACCGTGGAAAGAAAGGTAAAACGGAATTATGTAAAATGTAGGCTAGAAATTGAAGGAACTAACGCTAAAGTCACATTTGTAAATGTAAAGTATGTGGCTATTACTGACGGTGGCTCCCGATAGTGGCTAATATTTAACCTGATACAAATTATGAGTGCATACACAATTACAATTCTGAATACGGCACAGCTATTTATAGCCTACTTCACTGTGGAAAAGGGGCCGCAATACATGTCATGTTGATGATTTTCAGTTTGCTTCATCCAGAGATCATTAAGAAAAATTATCTAAAACAATTGTGTTTTAAAATCCCCTTTTCAAAACGGATTACTCATTTAACTAGCTCTTATCAATTTACAAATTAGTGCATGGAGAATGCTGTTATTTCTATTCAACCTTATTCGCGCGTAAAGGTGGCGAAATTATGAGGACATTAAGCCAAGGTCAGAATACAGCGTATATGTAGACACACCTCCGCCACACCTTAATTTCTTTGATCACCCCGAACGAATAGCAGGTGAATAGCACGACTACACATAGAGAGAAAAGTGCATACAGGGAATTATGTTCCATGTACGCGTGCGTGCTTAACTCGGGTCAGAGAACCATCTCTACCTGTAGTCATACAGCAACAACAGTTTGAGAACTGATGTGCAGCAAAGACCTGTGTCTGTGACCTCTCACCTCTGTGATCATGATGAGTCCGACCAGGTAGCAGCAGCAGCAGATGAGTAGCAGCAGAAGCTCCCTCCGGTAGCCCTTTCTGATGAGGTTGGGGTAGAAGTCCGATACCGAGGTCATAAGGCTCTCAAGGGCGACAAACTGGGGAACATGAGAGAGAGGGTAATGTACATGGGAGGGGAAGGTAAAGGGAGGGACAGGACACCCAGGTGTGTGTTGAGCTCTAACCTGGCTATCCACTCCCAACAGGATGATCATGGTGAAGAAGCAGACAGCCCAGAACTGAGGTAAGGGGAGCATGGACACTGCCTGAGGGTACACTATGAAGACCAGGCCAGGACCTGCAGCAGCACAACAATGAAAAAGTTACAGAATATATGTACCCAAATGCAATCTGATTTAATTAATTTAACGAGACATTCAGTTATGCATGTCAAAAAAGTGGATTCCATGAGCTGAGACAGTGCTTCTACAAGACAAGGTATAGATGCAGACAAAATGAAGTTCAGACGAAAGTGAGATCTGTGCCTACTTCACCCAACTAAAGCAGATGTGCCAGCTCTCGCTGATGATTAAAGTGCAGGCTGAGGACAAGATAGAAAATCAGATACTGTCTGGAATATAATTTTTCTAACTCAGCTTTCCACTCTCTCAGCGATCCACAATGCTGAGCCGTTATGTTGTCAGGCAGTACTTGGGGTGATCAGGAGGATAATAGGGCGTCATACCATTGTAGATTGATGTATTTTAAAGACTCACCTGACTCAGCAACCAGAGAGATGTCCACACCCTGTTCTCCAGCCATATAACCCAGTATGGAGAAAACGGCGAAACCTGACACGAAGCTGGTCCCACTGTTCAACAAGCACAGGTAGAAGGAGTCTCTGCAAGGCACAAAACAAGTTTAACGTATAGAGACACCATCCTCTTTCACATACACTGTTGGAAAGGGTCTAATAAGGTTTAAATACAGGTTAACGTTCAGGGCGATTGAGGTAATGTGTCATGACATGTACCATGAATCCTCCTGGCGTAGGTGAATGAGCAAACTGTTATTATATGATCTTAAACCTACAGTGTTTGCCAGATGAAGGCAGCTTGCTGTTGAAATGTTATTAAGTGATAAAAGGGAATGTGTCAGAACCATGAGAGTGTGTGGATTTTATTTTCCATGTGTTCTACTTCTCCAGCCTGCACCTTGCCTAACGAGATGTGCTTTTTCCTGTCTCCAGACTGACTGAAGAGATCTTGTAACCATGGATCCTCATGGTACTGCTAAATAAGCAAACCATCTTCAATGTGCCAAATTATTACCGCCAATTTTTTATCAAACCCACACACTAGTTGAAGCCTCACTTGTAGCAGTTGTTGTTGTATTTGTTGTAGCTTCCAAGAGAGGTCAGGTAGCCCAGGCATATGGCGTAAGAATAGAATATCTGGGTTCCTGCATCCATCCAAACCTTATTGATGAACAAACAGACAAAGAAGAGTTAAACTGAAGTCATAAACTGAACATGTTTAAGTATCATAACGGAAATGTATATCAGTAAGATGCGAGTCTAAACAAGGACTTAGCGGGCCGGTTTCCTGGACACCGATTAAGCATACTTCTGGACTAAGGATGTTCAATGGAAATTCTCAATTTTAAAGTAATTTTTTTGTCCAGGACTAGTCTTAATCTTTGTCTGGGAAACTTGCCCATACTACAGATAATACCTGTGGATCAGCTAGCCGTGTAGCATTGGGATACAAGTAGTAGAATATCCCATCTTTAGCTCCTGGAAGGGTCACTCCTCTGACAAATAGCACCGCTAGCATTACATAGGGGAAGGTGGCCGTGAAGTAGGCTGCCTATGAATTAGTACTACAGGGTTAGTAGAATAAAGAAAACACAATAAAGCCACGCATACCGGTATCACCATACCAACTATGGACCCATCATCACACCAAGTAACTTTAAAGCTACATCAAATAGCTGTCCCTCTGTTTCTTTTGTTACCTCCGAATTCAAGATTGATTGAGATTGGAACTACTGTTTGACTAATATATAAAATCAAAATCACCTTCCCTGTAGACCTCACTCCTTTCCAGATACAGAAGTAGCAGATGGCCCAGGACAGCAGAAGACACAGAGCCAGCTCCCATCTAATGCCTCCCAACGACTCAATCCCATCTGATATTCTCAGCACTCGCCGCCTGTAAGGAGAAATAGTTGACACAGCCATACATTTGATCACCAAAAGAAAATATATTGTATGTACAGTGGGGGAAAAAAGTATTTAGTCAGCCACCAATTGTGCAAGTTCTCCCACTTAAAAAGATGAGAGAGGCCTGTAATTTTCATCATAGGTACACGTCAACTATGACAGACAAATTGAGATTTTTTTTCTCCAGAAAATCACATTGTAGGATTTTTTATGAATTTATTTGCAAATTATGGTGGAAAATAAGTATTTGGTCACCTACAAACAAGCAAGATTTCTGTCTCTCACAGACCTGTAACTTCTTCTTTAAGAGGCTCCTCTGTCCTCCACTCGTTACCTGTATTAATGGCACCTGTTTGAACTTGTTATCAGTATAAAAGACACCTGTCCACAACCTCAAACAGTCACACTCCAAACTCCACTATGGCCAAGACCAAAGAGCTGTCAAAGGACACCAGAAACAAAATTGTAGACCTGCACCAGGCTGGGAAGACTGAATCTGCAATAGGTAAGCAGCTTGGTTTGAAGAAATCAACTGTGGGAGCAATTATTAGGAAATGGAAGACATACAAGACCACTGATAATCTCCCTCGATCTGGGGCTCCACGCAAGATCTCACCCCGTGGGGTCAAAATGATCACAAGAACGGTGAGCAAAAATCCCAGAACCACACGGGGGGACCTAGTGAATGACCTGCAGAGAGCTGGGACCAAAGTAACAAAGCCTACCATCAGTAACACACTACGCCGCCAGGGACTCAAATCCTGCAGTGCCAGACGTGTCCCCCTGCTTAAGCCAGTACATGTCCAGGCCCGTCTGAAGTTTGCTAGAGTGCACTTGGATGATCCAGAAGAGGATTGGGAGAATGTCATATGGTCAGATGAAACCAAAATATAACTTTTTGGTAAAAACTCAACTCGTCATGTTTGAAGGACAAAGAATGCTGAGTTGCATCCAAAGAACACCATACCTACTGTGAAGCATGGGGGTGGAAACATCATGCTTTGGGGCTGTTTTTCTGCAAAGGGACCAGGACGACTGATCCGTGTAAAGGAAAGAATGAATGGGGCCATGTATCGTGAGATTTTGAGTGAAAACCTCCTTCCATCAGCAAGGGCATTGAAGATGAAACGTGGCTGGGTCTTTCAGCATGACAATGATCCCAAACACACCGCCCGGGCAACGAAGGAGTGGCTTCGTAAGAAGCATTTCAAGGTCCTGGAGTGGCCTAGCCAGTCTCCAGACCTCAACCCCATAGAAAATCTTTGGAGGGTGTTGAAAGTCCGTGTTGCCCAGCGACAGCCCCAAAACATCACTGCTCTAGAGGAGATCTGCATGGAGGAATGGGCCAAAATACCAGCAACAGTGTGTGAAAACCTTGTGAAGACTTACAGAAAACGTTTGACCTGTGTCATTGCCAACAAAGGGTATATAACAAAGTATTGAGAAACTTTTGTTATTGACCAAATACTTATTTTCCACCATAATTTGCAAATACATTCATTAAAAATCCTACAATGTGATTTTCAGGATATTTTTTTCTCATTTTGTCTGTCATAGTTGACGTGTACCTATGATGAAAATTACAGGCCTCTCTCATCTTTTTGAAGTGGGGGAACTTGCACAATTGGTGGCTGACTAAATACTTTTTCCCCCACTGTAAATGTATTGTCGTCTATTGTATGCGTATAAGAATAATTTCACCATCACAATACAGTTCCTTTTAAGAAAGAAGACAATAGTATCTGATTAATTTCTAATTTGAGGAGTCAAGAATGTAATCACGAATGATGCAGTGTGGAAAAAACACAGCATTTATTATAGACTTACTGCCAAAACTCCACAACGGAAGATGACACATTCAGGAGAGGAACAGTCCAATTGGTGCTGGCATTCTTGGTGCCAAATGTCACACAAAAATCTGAAATACATGAAAGTCTAGTTGTAACAGGTTAAAAAGTTGACTGCTTCAAGTGTATGTGCAACCTAATAGCCAGATCCTCTTAATGTAATTAAGGGGTGTGGGGGGGGGGGGGGGGGGGGGGGGGGGGGGGGGTAGCAGACAACTCCTCTCCCCCATTATTCTCACTGTCTTCTCTTCTTCAGTATTTGTGCAAACTGTCAGAAGATGTTCACATGAACACACTGATTGCTCATGATCTCCCCTCACTGAACTACCATGCCTGCAAGCGGTTAGACATTTTTGTGTGGATAAGAGTCGTTGAACTTCAGTGATGGATGTTACTTGTTAGCAGCACTCGGTGCTTCATAACAAGGCTACAGAGGTAGTTGCTCCTACAAAGATTATCACAACCTAGCAGCCTCGAATACACTGTTTGATAAAACTGCCATCAAGTCAGGGGATTTGGCAATTTGGGGGCCTGTTACATATGTGTTTTTAATTTCAAGAAATTATTAAATATATAGGCCAAATTTCTCATCTCATCGACGGGGCTGTAGTGGAGCAGGTTGAGAGCTTCAAGTTCCTTGGTGTCCACATCACCAACAAACTAACATGGCCCAAGCACACCAAGACAGTCATGAAGAGGGCACGACAAAGCCTATTCTGCTCGGCCACCGACCGCAAGGCTCTACAGAGGATAGTGCGTACGGCCCAGTACATCACTGTGGCCAAGCTTCCTGCCATCCAGGACCTCTATACCAGGCGGTGTCAGAGGAAGGCCTAAAAAAGACTCCAGCCACCCTAGTCATAGACTGTTCTCTCTGCTACCGCACGGCAAGCGGTACTGGAGCGCCAAGTCTAGGTCCAAAAGGCTTCATAACAGATTCTACCCCCAAGCCATTAGACTCCTGAACAGGTATTCAAATGGCTACCCGGCTATTTCTTAAAACTGCAGTTGGTTAAGGGCTTTTAAGTAAGCATTTCACTGTAAGGTCTACACCTGTTGTATTTGGCACATGTGACAAATACAATTAGATTAGATTTGATATAAAGTGGTGTTAAAATTCAGTCAGTGGGGACACCTCAGGCAGCTGGGGCCCGTTTCAATTGAAACCTATGAAACATAGCAGTCCACCTATGCACAAAGTTTCACCAATATTGTAAATACCTGTGTTCCAGGCATTGTTGCAGTTAGCCCATGGCAGGTCAGCAGTGAAGGATGAGAACAGGTAGAGGAAAGCCCACACCAGAATCACTATGTAGGTCATACATCCATATATAGTGATCACCTGGGCGGCATAGCCCATTCCTGATGAAGACAAGCGAAACATAGCAACATGGTCATAAAAAGCAACAACCTAACACGATTTTCCCATTTACCTTCACTGCAGTCGATTCCCCATGACAGTAGGCCAAAGGCCGGCAGATATTGAGTCTTGTCATCTTACTGTCCAAATGCATTGTGTGCAGCCGGCAAAACGTTTGTATCCCTCGTGGACCTGTTCGTACCTAAACCATCAGGCGGCATAGGCTTCGATTTCTTCCATAACTTTATTTCGGACTTGCTAACTGGTTGTAGTTATACACGTGCCGCGATCAATCAGTTAGCAAGTCGGATATTTCAGAGTTCCGACTTGCACTTGAACGCGGCCTTCAGCCAGGGCATTTTCAGCAGTTCGTGCACACCTTTTTTTTCTCTCAAGGCAAGCAAAAGCGTCGTCACTGGTTACCACAGACACAAAGTAATGTGATTTTAACCTAACCACAGTGCTAACCTTATGCCTTACCTTAAATTAAGACTAAAAAGCTTTTTTTATGATATAGCCAATTTTGACATTGTGGAAACCAAGCCGAAATTTGGGAGCCGAAGTCAACTAGCAGTTGTCTAGGCCCATTACTTTTTTCAAACTTTACTAATGACATGCCACTGGCTTTGAGTAAAGCCAGAGTGTCTATGTATGCGGATGACTCAACACTATACATGTCAGCTACTACAGCGACTGAAATGACTGCAACACTTAACAAAGAGTTGCAGTTAGTTTCAGAGTGGGTGGCAAGGAATACGTTTGTCCTAAATATTTATAAAACTAAAAGCATTGTATTTGGGACAAATCATTCACTATACCCTAAACCTCAACTAAATCTTGTAATAAATAATGTGGAAATTGAGCAAGACTAAACTGCTTGGAGTAACCCTGGATTGTAAACTGTCATGGTCAAAACATATTGATACAACAGTAGCTAAGATGGGGAGAAGTATGTCCATAATAAAGCGCTGCTCTACCTTCTTAACAGCACTATCAACAAGGCAGGTCTTACAGGCCCTAGTTTTGTCACACCTGGACTACTGCTCAGTCGTGTGGTCAGGTGCCACAAAAAAGGACTTAGGAAAATTGCAATTGGCTCAGAACAGGGCAGCACGGCTGGCCCTTGGATGTACACAGAGAGCTAATATTAATAATATGCATGCCGATCTCTCCTGGCTCAAAGTGGAGGAGAGATTGACTTCATCACTACTTGTGTTTATGAGAGGTGTTGACATGTTGGGTGCACCGAGCTGTCTGTTTGAGCTACTGGTGCACAGCTCGGTCACACATGCATACCCCACAAGACATGCCACCAGAGGTCTCTTCACAGTCCCTAAGTCCAGAACAGACTATGGGAGGCACACAGTACTACATAGAGCCATGACTACATGGAACTCTATTCCACATCAAGTAACTGATGCAAGTAGTAAATTAGATTTAAAAAAAACAGATAAAAAAAAACACCTTATGGAACAGCGGGGACTGTAATATAACACAAACATAGGCGCAGACACATGCATACACACACACAATAACATACGCACTATACACACACGTACACATGGATTTTTGTACTGTAGATATGTGGTAGTGGTGGAGTAGGGGCCTCAGGGCACACAGTGTGTTGTGAAATCTGTGAATGTATTGTAATGTTTTAAAAATTGTATGAACTGCCTTAATTTTGCTGGACCTTGGCAGCAGCTAATGGGGATCCATAATAAATACAAATACAAATAAGCCTCTTTGTCGGTGATTGGTCAACAGAAGGGATTATTCAATAAAGTGTTTGTTGTTGTTCAACGATGAGTTGACTCGTTTTCATGAATTTTTTATTTTACTTGAAAAATATTGCACCAAACATCTTAGTTGTCAAATTGCGTGACTAAGATCTCCTCGGTAGAAACGTAAAAATTAATGACAGATTTATTGCGTTATGTAAGGGATAAACGATGGACGACGCAGCGCCCGTTGAGGAGTTCATTTTTCCAAGGTAATGTACAGAATGGAGGCGTTAATCCCGCTTATACCACAATTGCCAAATAAAACAATATGAAAGCACACATTTACCGGTAGAAATACATTGTTTTCTTTTATTGATTTCTATAAACTAATTCATAGTTTCTCATATTTTGGTTGATAGAGACGCGACCCAGTCGTTCGTTCTTTATGATCCTTGCACAGCGGCAACGTTCTTATCCCTTGCTTGTTGCTAACTAGCCAACTAGCAGCCAGAATAACAGCAAAGTAGCTGTTTTCTATTTACATTAATTTGGATACATCCATAACAATGAGCTGATAATGGCCGGTTTTGCCTAGCATAGCTATAAAAGTTTGCCTTCTAGTCAGGACACTCGACATTGTACATTACGACTAAATCGCATTGCATATCAAACACTAGGCTAGAAGCTAGCTAAATAGTTTGTTCGTTGCTAGCAAACCTGCCAATATGACAAGCAAATTAAAATATCAGTTGCTGAAAACAGCTGGTCAAATTAGAAACGTGAGTATTTGACAGCATAGCGCCACTTGCGTCATGTCTGCAGTAGGGACGAGATAATGTTTTATTTTTTTATTTCACCTTCATTTAACCAGGTAAGCCAGTAACTGACACATCCTAACTTGACTTTATCTGGTAAAGACTCATGCATCAAAACTCAGTAGTACAGACAGTGTCTTCTCTGTTTCACCACGCTCTCCACCAGGTCTACGTCTCTCCAAATGGCGGGCGTCACAGACACCTGGAATCTTCAACTTCAGTTGATCCTCCTCAACACTAAACGCCACTCCAATTATCACTCTTTTTTTCTTTTTTTTTCTTTACCTTTATTTAACCAGGTAAGACAGTTGAGAACAAGTTCTCATTTACAACTGCGACCTGGCCAAGATAAAGCAAAGCAGTGCGATAAAAACAACAACACAGAGTTACATATGGAATAAACAAAACGTACATCTCAATAACACAATAGAAAATCTATATACAGTGTGTGCAAATGTAGTAAGTTATGGAGGTAAGGCAATAAATAGGCCATAGTGCAAAATAATTACAATTTCATGTTCATCACTCACCATGTTAGGTCATCAGATGGCTTCTAAGATGATCCATAAAAAAAAATTCTCTGCAAAAACAAATCAATGCTAGCTAGCTATGTTTTTTCCTCGTTGAACCTACGTTTACAATGTATCCAATTTCGGTTTGTGTGGTTGTTGGTTTAGCTTTCTGTAACTTTGTAGCAAGTACGGTCTGCATGTGTAGGCGTTTATCATGTCATGATTGCAAGGTGTCTGGATATATTTTCCAACTGTCCCATTATCTGGCTTTATACAGCGGGTGGGTCTAATCCTGAATGCTGATTGGTTAAAACCGCATTCCAGCCAGTGTCTATTCCACAAGTTACCACTGGCTAAATCCATTCTAAAATGCCTATTTACTCTGTTACATCTGACTGCACAATCCATTGTCTCATCAGCCCAGCCAGGCAATTTATAAACTTGATCTCCATTATTAACAACATCTGGACATTATCTCACATTTCTTTTAGACTATTATTTAGTTTTCAACAGCAGAGATTTGTATAAACCTTGCTGTCTGTCTCTCCAATATTTGCAACATTGTTTCAATATTCAAAATCAATCTCCAGATATCCCATAGTAATGAACGTGTCGGGAGTCGGGGTGAGACAGACAGGCAGTTTCCTCAGCCAGTCGAAATCATGAATCAGCATAATTTTTATGGATATATACAAAGAACTATCAGTAGAAAACAGGTAAAACGAAACGAAGTGCAGCTAGTTTGCTGTCTTTCCAGTTTCAGATTAAAGTGATTGTGTAAACTGTGCTGTTGGCTAGCTCCTCTGAACAACAGTGTCAGGCAAAAATTGCGCATCATTAGCTACTTTTCTGTTATTTTGGCTGCACTGTTTGACGGCAAGCAAGGGATAAGAACATTGCCAACCAGTATGGCAATGGAACATTTTAGAATGAATGACTGGGTCCCATCCATAGATACAGAACAAAAATACTTAACGACTGGGCAACCGAACCGATAGAACGAATGACCAGCCGGCTTGGGTAGCAACCTTAGATTTGTGTCGGGACTATATCTCGTAAAATGATTAATGAAAATATGTCAGTCATGATTTGAATATGTTGGTGACCCGTTGTATAAAAGAGATAATGCCCTCGAAGCCGGTGTTTGGAGGATATATTGGCACGGTTTGCCGGCTCTCGACTTTGTCTCGGGCCTAACAACACCTGTGCCAATATATCCTCCAAACACCGGCTTCTTAGACATTGTCACTTAATTAATGTCCATTCTAGAATGCCCTTCTAACCAATCAGAAACAAGTATTCAATAATGCTGTGATATAACTTAGATAAATTCAGTGTATACTGGCTATGGCATCTCAAGATGCGCAAACAGTACTAAAAGCCTATGCAGCCTTGTTTCTTCTTCTTGGTGTTGCGAATTGCTTGCTGACTTTCACAGGTCAAAATGCAGATTAAACATTTTGTCACCAAAAGAAAAAGAAAAAAACTTAAATTGCACCACCATCTAACCCTGCACCTGTACACTATCCCCCCAAACCCACCACTCCATCCCACTACTTTGGCCCTAAACCATCCTACACCAGGCCATCGGCCTGGGAGGATGGAACCCCTTCTCTTAAAACTTCCTGTAGATCTTCTGTACTAAAATCTCTCACACCCAAATATTTCTCTGCAACTAACACTTTTTGCCCCACTCGAACTCTGGCAATCTTAACCTGTCTCTCTCTCACAGGGCACTTCGGATCCCCAGCTGCATGGGCACAACCACAGTTGACACACAATGTTTTCTCTAACCCAACTGTACACTACCTCTGACTATGCCCTCCTGCACATTTCTCACATCTTGGGATCTCCCTTCTACACACTGCTGCAACATGTCCAAATCCTTGGCACCTAAAGCACCGAAGCGGGTTCGGAACATAAGCCCTCACATAATAGCAAATATGACTTAACCTGACTTCATCAGGTAGAAACTCTGTGTCGAAGCTCAATAAGACAGACAGGGTATTCTCAGTCTCGCCATTGGAATATTCCTTTTCATTTGATCCGCGTGACTCGAAGCGCCCGCTTCCTCTCGGAGGCGGACACACAAAAAATCTAAACAATTCCACTTCTCAAAACTTTTACAGATGTAACCATTCCCAGTTTGTCCTTTACCCAGCTTGGCACAATGTATGGGTAGGCCAAAAAGCAGGAATCCACTCTTTCCAAAAATCTCACTCCTACCGGTCCAAAATAATCTCTGGTAGGACTCTCAGGGTAAACGTTGGAAGACCACACCTGTCATAGCAGGTAGGCCCACTACATCCTGGACTGGCTCAACTTCAGAGCGCTCACCACTGCCGACTGACTCCATTTTGAGATCATCAAGGTTCTCAAGAGAGCATGAAGACCTACAAGTGAGATTACTTGGTTTGTAATCAGGAGACATAGGTATGTACACCTCGAATGAAGGTGTATACTCAGCAAATTAATCTCTGATCTTAACATTGCCATTCTTACGCTTTTGCGTCATTGCACTTCCGACCCTCAGCCCAGGAGAGCGAAGAAAAAAAACGTGTTTCTCGTTTTTCAAGCGAAGGTCTTTTAAGGGAGTATGCGAGCACACTAGTTTGGTTCGCCTAGCCGGCAGACCCACCCTGAGAACAGTCATATGTCGTGTTCACGTGGTAGTCCGAACTAGGAAACTAGTAACTGGTTGAACGCAGCATGTGTATAACTACAACCAATTAGCAAGTCGGACATTCCAAGTTTCACAGTTCCGACAAGTATGTGAACGCGGTATTGGTTTCCATACGATACAGCACTGTGTTAGGTTAGGGGTGAAAAAAACGGACTGCTGCAACCTGATTGACTGAACGCAAGACACAACATCTGGGATTAACATTTAGCCACTCTAGCATGGTGGTGGAAAATGGTTTTTCATAAAGAAAGTAAGCATATTTTATTTTTTCTCTAGTTTTCTCACCATTCAAGAAAGTTATGGAGGAAATTGCAGCCTATGCAGCCTGAATGGAGAATGTTTTAGACATAAACTGGTCCATGAGGGATACAAATCTATTGCCGGCTGCATATAATGCATTTGGACGGTAAAATGGCACTACTCAATATCGCCATCTGCCAGCCTTTGGGCTACCATGACAGATTTAGTCAGATTAAGGCTACCACAGGGCCACATTCATTCTGAAAATACTGTATGTCTAAGATCCAAATCAATTTATGTTTCAAGTAGCCCTTCTGAAGACTCTGTCTGATTTGCATTTTTTAAATAACTTTTTTATTTCTAGAAGTTGGTGTGCTTGCTTCAGCTGTGCGATCATGACATCAGTTAATGTGTGACTCAGACCCAGTTGGTAAAAGCATGGCTCTAGTAGCAACACCAGGGTCATAATGGGTTCATTTCCTGCTGCTAAGATGTACGCTATCTCTGTGCAGTTAGACACTTTAGATAAAAGGATCTGCTAAATGGCATATATTATTATTATTTAAAAAATGTGAACATTTAATTCAGACACGGTCTTCAGAAAAGGATGCTGTTGTATTAGTTGGATATATGAGTTTGTGTTTGAAATATATTTTCAGAATGAATGGGGCCCTATGTAACTGCACAGAAATCTTCATGAATGAAGATCACAAAGCAATTATTTGTTTTGTGTCTCAGCACGAATAAGGAACCAAACGCTATCATATGGCCTACTCACTCTACTCTAAGTATCATTCTACTCTTCATTGCAATGTGGTTTATTTTATTTACTTCATTATGGTTTCAACTTTACATAATGATGTACCATAATCTTTCAACATCACTATGCTGTAGCAAGACCATGCAAGACATCTACATTATGAAATGCGGAAAGCACATAATAAAGGCTCAGGCTCATCCTACGAGAGAGTTTGTCACAATGAAAACAATGTAGCCTACTTGGGCTGCAGCAAAGGCATTTTAAAACGTAACTTTTAAGTGCACAGAACTGTACAGCAATACTCACCCTCAAACAGCGGGCAGATTTTCCTCCAGCAGGTGATGCCCCCCTGGCTGGTGTACTGTCCCAGAGCCGTCTCCAGGATGAACAGAGGGATGCCACAGGTCACCAGGTACAGGATGTACGGGATGAAGAACGCACCTACAGTACAGGAAGGAGTCACACATATTAGGCCTCCATATACAATGCTTAATGTTAATCTATTTTCAAACTTTAACCTTTAGTTGACAATGTCTTGTGATTTGGTTCTGGGTGACACTGACAGTATGCATAAGTCTTTGTATCTTTCATCATTATACAGTGGGGGAAAAAAGTATTTAGTCAGCCACCAATTGTGCATGTTCTCCCACTTAAAAAGATGAGAGAGGCCTGTAATTTTCATCATAGGTACACGTCAACTATGACAGACAAAATGAGGAAAAAAAAATCCAGAAAATCACATTGTAGGATTTTTAATGAATTTATTTGCAAATTATGGTGGAAAATAAGTATTTGGTCAATAACAAAAGTTTCTCAATACTTTGTTATATACCCTTTGTTGGCAATGACACAGGTCAAACGTTTTCTGTAAGTCTTCACAAGGTTTTCACACACTGTTGCTGGTATTTTGGCCCATTCCTCCATGCAGATCTCCTCTAGAGCAGTGATGTTTTGGGGCTGTCGCTGGGCAACACAGACTTTCAACTCCCTCCAAAGATTTTCTATGGGGTTGAGATCTGGAGACTGGCTAGGTCACTCCAGGACCTTGAAATGCTTCTTACGAAGCCACTCCTTCGTTGCCCGGGCGGTGTGTTTGGGATCATTGTCATGCTGAAAGACCCAGCCACGTTTCATCTTCAATGCCCTTGCTGATGGAAGGAGGTTTTCACTCAAAATCTCACGATACATGGCCCCATTCATTCTTTCCTTTACACGGATCAGTCGTCCTGGTCCCTTTGCAGAAAAACAGCCCCAAAGCATGATGTTTCCACCCCCATGCTTCACAGTAGGTATGGTGTTCTTTGAATGCAACTCAGCATTCTTTGTCCTCCAAACACGACGAGTTGAGTTTTTACCATAAAGTTCTATTTTGGTTTCATCTGACCATATGACATTCTCCCAATCCTCTTCTGGATCATCCAAATGCACTCTAGCAAACTTCAGACGGGCCTGGACATGTACTGGCTTAAGCAGGGGGACACGTCTGGCACTGCAGGATTTGAGTCCCTGGCGGTGTAGTGTGTTACTGATGGTAGGCTTTGTTACTTTGGTCCCAGCTCTCTGCAGGTCATTCACTAGGTCCCCCCGTGTGGTTCTGGGATTTTTGCTCACCGTTCTTGTGATCATTTTGACCCCACGGGGTGAGATCTTGCGTGGAGCCCCAGATCGAGGGACATTATCAGTGGTCTTGTATGTCTTCCATTTCCTAATAATTGCTCCCACAGTTGATTTCTTCAAACCAAGCTGCTTACCTATTGCAGATTCATTCTACCCAGCCTGGTGCAGGTCTACAATTTTGTTTCTGGTGTCCTTTGACAGCTCTTTGGTCTTGGCCATAGTGGAGTTTGGAGTGTGACTGTTTGAGGTTGTGGACAGGTGTCTTTTATATTGATAACAAGTTCAAACAGGTGCCATTAATACAGGTAACAAGTGGAGGACAGAGGAGCCTCTTAAAGAAGAAGTTACAGGTCTGTGAGAGCCAGAAATCTTGCTTGTTTGTAGGTGACCAAATACTTATTTTCCACCATAATTTGCAAATAAATTCATAAAAAGTCCTACAATGTGATTTTCTGGAGAAAAAAAATCTCAATTTGTCTGTCGTAGTTGACGTGTACCTATGATGAAAATTACAGGCCTCTCTCATCTTTTTAAGTGGGAGAACTTGCACAATTGGTGGCTGACTAAATACTTTTTTCCCCCACTGTACATCTGAACAAACACATTCCTGAAAGTGCAGTGTGGAAAATCATTAAAAAATCTTCTGTATCATTCAACAATCCTCTTTTAAATTGTGACCATGCAAGGTGAATGAATGTATACTTATTTATCTCAAAGTAATTGCAATGAGAAACAGCACAATGACCATGGGGTCATACGGTATGAGTTTTCAGGGGGTTCAACTAAAGTATTTGGATGCAGCTTTGTTTCTGTGTGTCATTTCAAGGAGCTTTATGCTAAACAACAAACCAATCCTTCTCTTTCCTATTTTTGCTTGATCTCACATCTGACCAGGCAGCAAATCAACCACGTATTTGTAAACAAGACAGAGAGACTTGGATAAAATAATAGGATAATTTCATCATATGCTCTCACCACCAAACTTTTTATTGAAAAAGAACACATTTAGAAACTTCAATGTAATGTTATTAGGAATGGAAAGTGTGTTATACAACATTATATTTTCTAGTATCTATTGTAGTATCACATGCAAGTCTGTAGTATACACTGAGTGTACAAAACATTAGGAACACCTCCCTAATATTGAGTTGCACCCCCCTTTTGCCCTCAGAACAGCCTCAATTCGTCAGGGCATGGACTCTACAAGGTGTCAAAAGCGTTCCACAGAGACGCTGGCCCATGTTGACTCCAATGCTTCCCACAGTTGTGTCAAGTTGGCTGGATGTCCTTTGGGTGGTGGACCATTCTTGATACACACGGGAAACTGTTGAGTGTGAAAAACCCAGCGTTGTTGCAGTTCCTGACACACTCAGCGCCTGCCACCTACTACCATACCCCGTTCAAAGGCACTTAAATCATTTGTCTTGCTCATTCACCCTCTGAATGGCACACATACACAATCCATGTCTTAATTGTCTCAAGACTTTAAAATCCTTCTTTAACCTGTCTCCTCCTCTTCATCTACACTGATTGAAGGAATCATAGCTTTCACCTGGTCAGTCTATTTCATGCAAAGAGCAGGTGTTCCTGTTTTGTACACTCAGTGTATATTGTAAACTGTAATAATATACACAATATATATGCACGATGCAAATGTGAAAAATTTAAAATAAAATCAGATCTATTTTTGGTTAATTTCATGTTCTCTGATGTGACACTGAAAGGTGTTTAGGTACAAAACGGCAAGGAATTTAGGACCAATGTTTTGACCATGAGTCAGGAATTTAAAAAAAAAACTGTTGCTTAGTCATGGGAATAAAAATATTAAGACAGAGCTGGTGACCTTAATAACAGTATTCTCGCGAGCCTTAACCAACTCTCGAGCTAGCCAACTGGCTCAATGTAAGAATAGCTGTATGATATTTGTGCATCTTTAAGTTTCTCATTCATCATTATTCATGATTCATTCAGTATTTTCCGTAATCATGGGAGCATCCACATTAATATAGAAGTGTTTAGAAACATGTTCTATTCTTATTTATAATAAAAGTGACTCCAAAATGATACAAATACATTATTTACCATTAATTTCTATTGGGCACAAAATCATCTGAAACAAAACCAAAACAAACAACAAATGCATCCAAAAAGTTTGTAGAGTCACAAGCTTGACGTTATCATTGCATGCCAGGAATACGAGACCAAATATTAAACTTTTGACTACTTTAATACACATAAATGAATTTGTCCCTATACTTTTGGTCCCCTAAAATGGTGGGACTATGTACAAAAAGTGCTATAATTTCTAAACGGTTCACCCAATACGAATGAAAACACTCTCAAAATGAAAGCTGCACTTTAACCTCATAGTATTATTTCAAATTCAAAGTGCTAGAGTACAGGGCCAAAACAACAAAACATTTGTCACTGTCCCAATACTTTTGGAGCTCTCTGTGTTTAACCAACAAGCAAAAATAAGACTTTGTTGACTCACCCCCACCGTTCTTGTAACAAAGATAGGGAAATCTCCATATATTTCCAAGTCCAACAATAGCGCCAGCCACAGTTAGAATAAACTCAATTTTGCTCTCCCAGTGGCCTCGCTCCTTGACCCTCTGTTGGGCATCCTGCATCAGCCCCGGGAGTGCCTCATGCCTGCCTGCCATCCTGCCAGTGAGTGAGAGAGAGAGGGTCCGAAGGCAAGTACTGCTGGTCGAGTCTGTTGAGTTCCTGCCTGGAGATCAGTGGTTGGTGCATTTGTCTGCTGCTGCTGGAGCTTTTATGGATAACAGCACTGTCAAGATGCCAGCTGCTTCTGCCTGAAGGGGGACCCAAAGACATGAGGGCGGACAAGTCATTCATTGGCTAGCACGGGATTCAGATATTTGAATGAGAGCTGCACTTTTAGTGTGACTAACTTGTCATTTGACACGGTCCAAAAGAATGCCTGCAGGACTGTGATCCTCTCAGCAGGGTTGGGAGAGATTGATGTTTCAGCAGAGCTACACAGAATAACACATAGTACAATTCTTATATAGGATAACTGACTTTAAATTCTTATTGAAACAGGTTCATTTCCTAATTTATACCGTTTACAACTCTTAGTGACGTTAAACATTTTGCCTAAAAATAATTGCATTTGTCACGCCTGCTCCCGCTGCCCCTCCCTGGCGCTCCAGGGTGCCAGACTGCCAATCATTACGCACACCTGTCACCATCGTTACGTGCATCAGCGCTTGGACTCACCTGGACTTCATCACTGCTTTATTACCTCTCCTATATCTGTCTGTTCCTCAGTTTGATCCCAGTGTCTGCATTGGTGTTTTGTTTCTCTCGTCCAGATGCTGTTCTTGCTTTGTTTCATGTCTATTTATTATTAAATCCTCACCCTGTACTTGCTTCCCGTCTCCCAGCGTCTGTCGTTACATACAGATAATACTGATCATTTGTATTACAGTTAGTGTCTTTAATCACTCTGTATAGAAATAATTTAAACAGATTCTGGTCTGGTCTACATTCAGAAGAGCGTGCTTATATCTTAGCCTTGGACAACCAGACTAGAATAACAGAGCATTGGGCTTATCCTACTACTTTACAAAGTCCTGTGCACTGCAGACATCACAAAGTCCCGTGTAGACATCTCAAAGACTATGTGTTCTATATATATGCATATGCAGACAGTTAGTTCTCTATGTAAGGTCCCTCAAAAGGGACATTTCCCCCTGATTACATGTGTTTCATTTCAGGCAATTGTGCAATGTGTATGCCCTTTAAAGCTGTTTAATCATCACATTTGCGTTCAGAATCAGTCAGTGTGGGCCCCCTGGGGAGCTTCTGTATGTCAGTCCTAGTGATGGGAAAACATGGAACTGAAAACTGAAAACACATAACTCCTGAAGCCCTGACCTTGGTTGGGCCTCAAGTCCATCATCATGCCAATGCCTTCTGGGGTTTGAGTTAATCATGGGCCTACATCTTGAGGTCCCAGATACCAGCAAAATGGGGAGGCTAGCCTGAAATACCATTGGTATTTATGTATGTAGGGGCTGGGCTGTGAAACTGCAGCTGACCTCTTAGCTCTGTGAGTGGCAGGCTGCATATTGTGATCACTAAAGGTGCAGACAGAGAAGACAGACAGGGGTTAGGACACCGGGCTTTAAGGAGCCTTAACCAGGAGCCTTTGGATATTACATAGAGTACAGTATTCTCGGAAATACATTGGTACGTTTACAGTATGTAGATGAAAAAAACATTGGAAGGATGGGTTGAAAATAGTATTTGAAATAAGTATTTCAACATACTGTCAAATACAATTTGGTTTGATTTTGGCAAATAACCATTCAAATACTCAAATAAAAGTATTTGTTTTGGGCTGTGTATTTCAAAATACTCAAATAGACCAGAAAAAGTATTTTAAATACCAGATACTCAAATACACATGTATTGTAACCCAAGTCTGGTTGAACCAGGGTCTTTATCGTGTGTCTCGTATGCTATGCCTGTCTCGTGTGCTGTCTGTCTCATGTGCCATGTTTGTCTCATGTTCTTTGGGTGTGTACAGTATTACTGATGTGCTGAAGGGTCAAGTGTGGGTCCTGATAAAATACTTACACCCTAGAAGCAATAAGTCCTAGCTGCACCTTTAACCTCGGCACAAGGGAGCCTCAGCTAGGGCCCCATTAGTAACTAATGAGCCTGAAGAGAGTGAATGAGCACCCAGTCAATAAAAGTACTTGTCCTTTCACGCTATGAGGGATGTCTCCTTTTCAATTTGGTGTACATGAGTTCTTTCAAACAGGTAAACAGGTGAACTGTGGCAAAAGGATCTTGACAGGGTAGACTACGGAAAGTTTAGAATTTGTTGAATTATTCAGTGGTTGAGTAAGCTTCATTGTGATGATGATGATGATAATAACAATGGTGTGATAATGCTTATGATGATGATGATAATAACAATGGTGTGATAATGCTTATGATGATGATGATGATTATTATTATGAGACATGAAATCTGAATGAAAATATGGAGATGATATGATCATGAGCAGCAGGTGAATCCATAAGTATGTTTTTTCAACTTTTTCTTTCGGGTCATCTCCTCAAAACGAGGTACAATAATGATCAGAACCCAGTTCTGAAAAACGTATTCTAACATGAACACGACTTACCTTTATTTGTTTTCTTGGGAAGAGAGCCTTCTACAGACCTTCTATACAGAATTCACAAATTCCAGCTAGATGATTTGTGCCTGTTCGTAAATAGAAGTACTTATTCATCAACTGTTTCCTGCCTCATGTCTCTCATCCTAAATATCTGAAGGAATCATGTAATGTGACCAGTGTGATTGAAGAGAGCTTCTTGCCTTGTTTAATAAGACCTTCAACGGCAGCAGGGTTATACCAGGGTTGTACCAGGGTTATGCCATATACTATAGACTAAATGGTAACACTTTACTTTGACAGTCCCAAATATATGGTTTGTAGATGTTCATTAGATGTTCAACTAACTGTCAACAAGATTTCAACAAACTATCCACTTACCCTAACCCTAACCCTTATCCTAAATGCAACCCTAGCCTTAACCATTATCCTAAATGCAACCCTAACCTTAACTCTTAACCTAATCTTACTCTAACCCAAACTGTAACCCAGCCAGTTGTTGTATCAACAGAGTTGCAGTTAATAGTTTGTTGATAGCTTAATAATCTGTAGATCATCTATAGGGGACTATCCAAATAAAGTGTAACTGATTTCATGATTAAGTGCTGTAGGTTTATAATACAAAACCTTGAAGTGTTGAGGTAAATCAAGGGCACTGCAATGGGCAAGTGTTGGTTGATGGAGTCAATGAATGGTAGTAATGAATGGTAGTATTAGCGGCATCCTGCGTTACCATGTGTTGAAATACTGGCATGTATTTACTGCATGTAAAGCCTGGGTGGAGTAAACATGTTTTCCTCCACTTTGAATTTAAATTTAGAGAATGCTTGAGTCTTTAAACTTGAAGAAGGTGGGTGAGGTGTACAGTTAGTAAGTCGCATATGTTATGCATTTTCATACTATATGACATGTTGAACACACACACACGTACATACAGTGGGGAGAACAAGTATTTGATACACTGCCGATTTTGCAGGTTTTCCTACTTACAAAGCATGTAGAGGTCTGTCATTTTTATCATAGGTACACTTCAACTGTGAGAGACGGAATCTAAAACATAAATCCAGAAAATCACATTGTATGATTTTTAAGTAATTAATTTGCATTTTATTCCATGACATAAGTATTTGATCACCTACCAACCAGTAAGAATTCCGGCTCTCACAGACCTGTTCGTTTTTCTTTAAGAAGCCCTCCTGTTCTCCACTCATTACCTGTATTAACTGCACCTGTTTGAACTCGTTACCTGTATAAAAGACACCTGTCCACACACTCAATCAAACAGACTCCAACCTCTCCACAATGGCCAAGACCAGAGAGCTGTGTAAGGACATCAGGGATAAAATTGTAGACCTGCACAAGGCTGGGATGGGCTACAGGACAATAGGCAAGCAGCTTGGTGAGAAGGCAACAACTGTTGCCGCAATTATTAGAAAATGGAAGAAGTTCAAGATGACGGTCAATCACCCTCGGTCTGGGGCTCCATGCAAGATCTCACCTTGTGGGGCATCAATGATCATGAGGAAGGTGAGGGATCAGCCCAGAACTACACGGCAGGACCTGGTCAATGACCTGAAGAGAGCTGGGACCACAGTCTCAAAGAAAACCATTAGTAACACACTACGCCGTCATGGATTAAAATCCTGCAGCGCACGCAAGGTCCCCCTGCTCAAGCCAGCGCATGTCCAGGCCCGTCTGAAGTTTGCTAATGACCATCTGGATGATCCAGAGGAGGAATGGGAGAAGGTCATGTGGTCTGATGAGACAAAAATAGAGCTTTTTGGTCTAAACTCCACTCGCCGTGTTTGGAGGAAGAAGAAGGATGAGTACAACCCCAAGAACACCATCCCAACCGTGAAGCATGGAGGTGGAAACATCATTCTTTGGGGATGCTTTTCTGCAAAGGGGACAGGACGACTGCACCGTATTGAGGGGAGGATGGATGGGGCCATGTATCGCGAGATCTTGGCCAACAACCTCCTTCCCTCAGTAAGAGCATTGAAGATGGGTCGTGGCTGGGTCTTCCAGCATGACAACGACCCGAAACACACAGCCAGGGCAACTAAGGAGTGGCTCCGTAAGAAGCATCTCAAGGTCCTGGAGTGGCCTAGCCAGTCTCCAGACCTGAACCCAATAGAAAATCTTTGGAGGGAGCTGAAAGTCCGTATTGCCCAGCGACAGCCCCGAAACCTGAAGGATCTGGAGAAGGTCTGTATGGAGGAGTGGGCCAAAATCCCTGCCGGAATTCTTACTGGTTGGTAGGTGATCAAATACTTATGTCATGCAATAAAATGCAAATGAATTACTTAAAAATCATACAATGTGATTTTCTGGATTTTTGTTTTAGATTCCGTCTCTCACAGTTGAAGTGTACCTATGATAAAAATTACAGACCTCTACATGCTTTGTAAGTAGGAAAACCTGCAAAATCGGCAGTGTATCAAATACTTGTTCTCCCCACTGTATATACGCTCACACACACAAACATGACAAAGAAGTTTGATAAAATAAAAACTATACCATAATTACTAATCTGATACATTTACATTTGGAATCAATTTCAAATGTACATTAGATTGAAAATAAAATGATAATAAAAAAATAAATATAGTTGTCAGAAGTGACCCATATAGCATCATAAATTAAGTAACACAAACCATTTTGGCCACGTTATTTTTAGGGTTGTGGCACAAGATGACTGGCT